GCGGGGGTGGTGGCAGTATAGGTGGAGGCATTATTAATAATAGACATGCCTAATTGTTTAATTAGAGACATCGGTGCTGAATTTGGTAATGTTAGCGGTGAGAATTATATTCAACCATGCATAAGAGTAAGAGTACGAGCTCGTGGGTTGAAAGGTGCCACCACCATTGCTTTCTTTATCTCTACCTATTAATTAATTAACTGTCAGCAATGACCTGCATTAGTTGTAATATTATTCCTAATAAATTATTAATTGATCTTATATCTACCTTCTTTCTTATATATGTATAATGTAGCATCGACATGCGTTTCATTTTCTGATTTTCATTTCATTCTGAAGAATAAGAGCCAATAATTATCCTACTTCTCAATCATAAATTAGGAAGCCAATGGTAAAATATTAATAGCTGAGGGGGCAAATTGTTAAAAACAGTGGCCGTTCATGGCCTCCAACGCGATCGATCATATGTCGACCGCCAAATAAACTCGATCCATTTTAATTAAATAAATCCACAATCTTTGATTGATGGAGCTAATTTTTCAATTAATCGTTGTAAAACCATGTTGCCATAGTTTACCAAAACAAACAAATAAAAAGTTACAGCCCACAAAATAAGACAAGGGTGAAGGAGGCTGAACAAGAAATATCCGTCGGTGTCTCTTTCAGTCAAGAATTCATTCATCAATCCCGCCCTTTTTTCTTGTGATTAAACCAATTAATGCCCTAAGAAAAAATTTACACGAAGACCAAACCCCCAAGAACACGAGCATCTACTACAAAATTTTGGAATCAAACCAAAGGGCATGGTCAAATTTGGAGCAATCCTTCAACCCAATAGAACAATGTCTGCTTGGAATAGTATTGATCAAGAAAAAGAAAAAGCAAGAAAGCTTGAGGGTGACATTATTTTGGAGGGCACCAAAAGAACTATACTTGTGTAATAAAAATTCTGCAATTCCTCTCCTTCCACGTATAGTAACAGACAGAGGCAGAGCAAGACATTAAAAAAAAACTATGACACTCATTGATTTCCCACCTCTATATATATATAATTGAGACCAAAACTTGGTTCCAAATATCAAAAGACTCGGAGCTATAGCAAACAAAGAATAAATGCTCAGTTCATTCAAAGAGCACACTTCCTCTAAATTCCCTAACCTCTCTCTCTCTCTCTCTCTCTCTCTCTCTCTCTCTCTCTCCATTCTTCTCTCTCTCTCTCTCTCTCTCTCTCTCTCTCTCTCTCTCTCTCTCTCTCTCTCTCTCTCTCTCTCTCTCTCTCTCTCTCTCTCTCTCTCTCTCTCTCTCTCTCTCTCTCTCTCTCTCTCTCTCTCTCTCTCTCTCTCTCTCTCTCTCTCTCTCTCTCTCTCTCTCTCTCTCTCTCTCTCTCTCTCTCTCTCTCTCTCTCTCTCTCTCTCTCTCTCTCTCTCTCTCTCTCTCTCTCTCTCTCTCTCTCTCTCTCTCTCTCTCTCTCTCTCTCTCTCTCTCTCTCTCTCTCTCTCTCTCTCTCTCTCTCTCTCTCTCTCTCTCTCTCTCTCTCTCTCTCTCTCTCTCTCTCTCTCTCTCTCTCTCTCTCTCTCTCTCTCTCTCTCTCTCTCTCTCTCTCTCTCTCTCTCTCTCTCTCTCTCTCTCTCTCTCTCTCTCTCTCTCTCTCTCTCTCTCTCTCTCTCTCTCTCTCTCCATTCTTAAATTCGTGGGGTGTGGTGATCAGTATCATAAATAGAGATGGGTTCAAATATCAAATCCAACTTCCACACGGTGAGCTTTGCAGCACCAAGAGGGTTTGCAACGACATTCAAATCTGACCTCAAGGAAACCTTTTTCCCTGACGATCCATTCAAGCAATTCAAGAAGGAGAAACCACTTGGCCGTGTCAAGAAAGACTTCCAATATTTCATTCACATCTTTGAATGGCTTCCCAAATATAGTTTGCGCATGTCCCAGTTTGATTTACTTGCTGGTATCACCATCACTAGCCTTGCCATCCCTCAAGGAATTAGCTTCGCCAAACTCGCCGACATTCCTCCTGTCATCGGCCTCTGTAAGTAGCCGGTCCCATGTATCCATCATGCATGCATATAAACCCCACACATGCATGTTGGACGTCATGTTACATAAGATTATTATTTTTTCATTAAACATGTGTGTAAGGTTAGTAGTTGGTTATTTTTAATTTCAAGAACACAAAATATTATCTAAATTTGGCGATTGTGATTACATGCACAGATTCGTGCGTAGTTCCATCTATTGTTTATGCGATTTTCGGAGACTCGGAAGCATGTTGCTGTGGGCACGTTGGGTACAAGCTTATTGCTTATGGCCGAAACCATTAACAAAGTTGCATCTCCAGAGGCTCAGCCCGCATTGTACCTTCACTTGATTTTTACGGTCACTTTTGTCACTGGAATCTTTCAAGCAGCTCTTCTAGGTTTTCTAAGGTGACCGATCGAAAAAGAGGCTCTTGCAATTAATATTTGAAAGAAAAAATTGTTATGTGAAAACAGCATAAACTGATAAAACCCAATTAAGAAAACACAAAAGTTAACTCGAAACCTCTTTATTGGATTGGATTATGAGTCATCATTACAAAATTAAAATTATACTGGAGTTGGAATATTCTTTAATTAAATTGATGAGTTAATATATATTTGTGCAGAATGGGGATTTTGGTGGATTTCTTATCACATTCCACGATCACTGGGTTCATGGGGGGACTGCAACTATATATAATATGCTTGCAACAGTTGAAGGGTTTTTTTGGTTTGACGAATTTTACGACCAAAACCGATGTCATATATCTGTTATGCACTCCCCCATCGAACATAGAGATGAGGTTTGTTTGTATTATTTAGAGATAAAAAAAAGCACAAGAAAATGATTTTTTTTTTTTAGTACAAGGGGAGGGGGTTTACACAAATATTCATTAGGTGCCTGGGTGTTTCGAACCTCCTCTACCCAAGCTATACCCTACTGATAGAAAATGAGTTTTTAAAATTTATTGCTTATGACTAGAGATGATTCTAACAATGAGACATTCTCTTTCTCCAGTGGAGATGGGAGAGTGCAATTGTTGGTGTTATCTTCCTTGTTTTTCTCCAGCTTACTTACTACCCACCTTGTGAGTTCTCTCTCTCTCACTCTCTCTCTCTCTCTCTCTCTCTCTCTCATTTGTGTAACCTAATTTTCTTTTGTTAATTTGAAATGTATAGAAAATTTCAGAGACAAAAGAAGCCAAAACTATTTTGGGGTATCTGCTATGGCTCCAATGGTCGTTGTTGTACTAGGCTGTCTTGCCGCTTATCTTGCACGTGCCGAAGACCATGGAATAAAAATTGTAGGTGCACTAGTTTTTGTTATATATACAATATATATCAGGTGGGTGCTTGTTTTTTCTTTGGCCTGAAGAGGTGGGTGAGTTGAAGAAAGGTATAGATCACCTTTCCATTCAATTTTTGAACTTTAACCTTGTTGACACCATAACTGACCAAGCAACTAGAAGAAACTCTAAGCAAAGCAAGAGGAGTCCCACATCGGAAATCTACATGAAGTGAACACTCTCTCTCACCTATAAAAGCATACCACTCTCCACTTAAGAGGGGATCCGAAACTGAGCTGGGCTCCCTCTTCAGGACTCTCCTGTTAGTCTGGCCTTCGAGTCCTGGGTCTCCAGACCCGGGGACTTGACCCCCTGGGCTCCAGACTCCTAGCTTTGTACCTTAGGCCCTAGGCCTTCTTCCATTTATCTTTGGGGTCTAATCCCCTTGTACATATGTAAACAATATCATAATGAGAACATCTTCTCTGTGGACGTAGCCCATTCATTAAGGGTGAACCACATATATCTTGTCTTTTGTATATTTATAAATTGGCCAAGCCCTCACATACATGATGAAGGTCCAAACCTTCACCCATCACTCATCACACCTCATCACTAAGTTGGACCCAATCTTGGCGGAACCATTTTGGGCATCAACAAACCTCAAATATTTGCCTTCTGTTTTGAAAGTTGGAATTGTTACAGGCCTTATTGGTTTAGAATCTTAATCTTCCTTCCCCCCCTCCTTTTTTTTTCACTCTTTTGGATTGGATTAATTAGGAGACTCTAGCGGTAGATTAATTTAATATTATTTAGTTAATTTTGAAAATAACTTTTGCAGGAAGGAACAGCTGTTGGAAGGACCTTTGCCCTACTGAAAAATGAACAAGTTGATGGGAATAAGGAAATGATAGCTTTTGGCCTCATGAACCTCGCTGGATCTTTCACTTCTTGCTACTTGACCACTGGTATAGATTATATAGTCCAATTATCCAACAAATAATAGTACTTGTAGGTATACGTACCACATTTTTGTATCACATTAATCGTAAACGGCTCATTTTCAATTTTTCATAAAATTTGCAGGAACATTTTCGAAAACTGCAGTGAATTACCATGCAGGATCTAAGACAGCAATGTTGAACACACAGTGATGGCAATCTTTCTGGCGCTCACGCTCTTGTTCTTGGCTCCTTTCTTTAGCTACACCCCTCTTGTCGCTCTCTCTGCCGCATTATTATATCTGCCACGCTTGGCCTCATCAAATATGAAGAGGCCATCAAACTCTTCAAGGTTGACAAGTTTGACTTCTGCATTTGCATGACTGCCTTCTTTGGTGTTGCCTTCATAAGCATGAACGATGGCCTCATGCTTTCTGTAAGCTTCTACATGGTGACTTATATTCACACTCAGATGTTGTTGATTGTGTAGTTAATGGTACCTATTAACTGTAACTAAAAAGTTGGGGCTTATCTTTCTTTTCATTGAAATTTATTCACACATGAAATAGTTTTCTATGAACCCAAAATAAAATAAAAAGAGAGAAGCCAATAGGGTCTAACCCAACGGAAAAGAGCCTTTAGACTAGTGATCTCAGGTTCGAACTTACATGACACCTTGATGATGTGTGTCTGAAAACCCCCCTCCCTTGTAGTTTACACTATCGATTGTATGTGAATCCTCAATTCTTCATTCGAGCCTCAAATGAAATTTGACATGACTGGACTCTTGTTATGAATCTGATTGAAGTACATGTAACTTTATCATCATGGGCCCATGATAAAATAAAGTCCTTAAATTATTAATATTCCTTTGTTAGCGGGTGCTTTTCATCTTCAAATAATTTCTCCTTGATCACCTCCAAGCCTTTTCTCCTTCGATTATTATTCATGTATTTACTCTCTCTTTTTTAGTACAATTAACATTTTTGTATACAAAGGCATTTAGATATACACGACAGCTTGGATTGCCATTCGAAAGCAGAATTGGATTTGCTGCACCAAACGCAGTGTGAGTCAATATGGATATAATTAATTTATGGAAGGAAGAGATTCTATTTAGCGTAATCCGATTTGAAAACTGTATATATATATGGTTTGCTTTCCCAGTCATTTTGGTATATTTTTCTTTTCCATGCATGTACAAAGTGCGCGTCCAGGTCTAAGTTTTAGGACTTCAAAGGTCTGCTTTGAATTCTCCATCATTTTAATCATTTCAGTTTCTCCATTATCCAAAGCAGAAATTGCTGTATTGATCAGGCTTGAATTTGCTTTGCAGTTCGATCTCATTTGAAGGGATTCAATTTAGGAACAATGTTGGGCCCTGACTAGTCTAATATAAGAATTTTCTCATCCTTACAACTTCACGCAATTTATCCTTACCAAATTCATTGAACATGCAACCAAACACTCATCCCAGTCCGTTGCAAATGTTTAAAAATGTAAGGGTTTAATGTTAATTTTTAAAAAGTTCACACAATGATATTATTGACAATAAAGATAAGAATGTCGATCGTGAAAAGTCAGCAGGATCCGAGAGTATTGTTCTTAATTGACTGTAATGTGAAGAAAACTGTAGTGGTTGCTTTTCCCCGTCATTTTGATACGTTTCTTCATGTAGTTGTTATAAACTCTGTGATGCGAATTAAGATGCTGCCATCACCATGCATGCATATACAAATACAAAAGTGGAATCCACGTCTAACTTTTAGGACTTGAAAGGCCTACACACTTTGAAATTTCTGTCGGCCGTTTTAATCAAAGTCCCATTATCCAAAACAGGCTCAATTTTTATTCAAGGCCGAGTCACACTACAGGCAAAATCTTCCATGTCATTAGTGCATATCTGTGTTTGACAGAGCTAGTGGAGGCCACCTATACTTTCCATTCTCAAAAACTTATATATCTGATGTGGTGCGAAACTATTGGTGCATATTTTCTAGTTCTTTCTGGGGCAACCTTGGCCTTGCATTCCGTTTTCAAGCAACAAACAATTTGTCGGGAAAGTGTGTGAAAGTGGACCAGATTAAAAAATTAATTAATTAAGGTCAACATCTAAAGCAAAGCAATGATTGAGATGAGAATGTTGAAATGATGCTGAAAAATGAGTCCACCATGATTAGCTCAAGTTTCGCACCACAAACTTCACCATGCAGTTGCGTTTCAAACTCGTGCAGCCAGCCAGCCAGCCCTCCCCCTTCGTCTTCATGATGAGTAACTTCTGAGGAAGGCTTTATTTCATCGTAGTTTTAATCAGAGAGACAACCCATGTTTTCAAATCAGATACAAACTATTTTTGGAGCCATTGTGGAAGCAAACAGCTTTACGCTAAGCTAGCTTATAATTCATTCAGGGTTTTCTAGCCTTTCCCTCATCGTTTTGTTTTCTTATTCATTCACATCAGTCAAGTTTTCGTTTGTCTGTTATTTTGGACGGCTGAGAATGCTCCTTGGTCCTGTTTTACCCAATCAATGGCGGACACACCCTATTGCTAGCTGTGACCCACCCCACGGCGCCGTTGCCTGCTGGTGCAGGGCTGATCTGCTTGCAGGTCATGTGTCGTGGTCTTTGCAATTGTGCCCCTTTGACAAACAATGCAATTTAGATGTTTTTCTTATTTCGGTATTTATCTATATATGTTTTTCTTATTTCGGTATTTATATATATGTAGATATAAGGCAAAGGCAGAAAATGGTACAACATTCAAAATACCAGAAAATGTCCTTAGTTAATGCAAACATTAAGAATTGAAATTATTAATTAAATGAGAATAATATGGTAAATTCACACTTTTTCATATTTAAAAAAATTAAAATTAAAAGAAAATTCATATAATGGATTCTATTTTTTTGAAACACAACTACCCATTATCTTTTTTATTTCTAAAATAAATTTAATTTTTTTAAAAAAAAGCCTCTCACAGGCGCGGAAGCGAGTGCGGAGAGGCTGTACAAATTAAGCTACTAAAAATCACAAAGGATCACTAATGTTCATGAGTAACGTCACATTCTATCTATTTTTTTTTTACTATACTATACTATAGTATTAATTATTTTTTAATTTTTTACTAGCCTTCCTCCCTCCCTATCCAAACTCATTCTCATTTTCCGAAGATCAAATTGAATAAATTACATAATCAGAAAATAACCCTAAAAACTACCTCTCGTACAAGTCAAAGAACCTGTGGTAGTTAACCAAGGTGGTTGGTGTGAGTGGTTCGGCACTCTCATTCCTTAAGAGAGGTCAGGGATTCGATCCCTGCTCTCGTACGGAGTCACCACTTTGGCCAACCCTTTACCCCTTACGGGCCGACCCGGTGTGAGTATGGATTAGTCTGGATTGTGGTTAAGGCTTAAAGATGCCACCCATAATTGAGGCCCATCCAGGACCACCTCATGGTTCATACCCAAAAAAAAAAAAAACCTGGGGGAGTTCAAAACCAAAAAAAAAAAAAAAAAAGAACCCGTGGTATATGTATACTATATATATATTTTCAATTGTATTTCATTTATATACATTGGCATTGACCCTTTTGTTGATTACTATAATTTGGGATAATATTTCTTCACATAACTTTAGTTGATTGATATATTAACCGTGGCTCATTCATTACTCATTGCATATATCTACGACACATTAATCTTTACCGACACAACTCTGTCATATATATTAATTATAAACTCATGGATTTTTTTATATATTATATTTGTGTAAAGCAATATGCCAATATACATGCATTAATTCCACGCAAAGTCAACTAACATGTCAATTCCTGGATACCGAAACTTGTACCTGATGATAATATCTAGCTAATGTGCGCGGGTCGTGTAAGAGAAGAAGAAGAAGAAGAAATTGGGTTGATCTTAGCATGGTAAGAGAAGTTGTTGGAAACTCCGTCTTTCATTCATGTATGTCATACAGAAATACGTATGGTACTCGTACTTGTATACGGTACTTGTGGTGTGAGAGAGAAATTCGGAGTTTTTATAGTTTCAAAATTTGTCTCGTAAGGGTTTTAGAGCTAATTTATTTATTTTCTGTTCAGATGCTACCATACACATATGGACTATGGAGTCAACGTCCTTGTAAATCTTTATCATTATCCTTATGTCATGCGACTCATTAGGCATAACTTAAAAGTCTTGAAATTGTTGAAAATAAGTTAGAAAGAGTGATAAAAATAGTTATTGCTGAAAACTAATTTAAGGTGAGTATCAAAATGTGAGAGAGGAAAGAGACAAAAAGCGAGAAAAGGAAAGAGTTAGAAATTAAAGCGAAAAGAAAAAGAGCGAGGGTGAGAGATATTATAGCAAAATGGGAACTATTCACGCTCTACCTCTGCTTACACTTCGTGACACTCCTATGTACGAGCGCACAACATCATTCATCCACACAATGTATATGTTACTGTGCTTCCACTTACGTAGGAGTTGACGAGAGTGTATTAAGGAAGTATGTAAGAACGTAGTATCGTAACATGTAAACATAGTAACAAAATGAGATAACAATATATAATCTGGAAAATATTAACAACAATATAATTCGAACGGCAATTTTCTATAAAAGCAATTCGTTAGAGTCGGACAAGAGATACTTCTTATCCAAGTTCATACACTGTGACTAGTCAGAATTAATGCGCGCCACTTATCCGATTAATCTTGGCCATATTCCATAATTCTCCACTTTTCTTCCCTATAAATGTTGGGGTGTTTTTGGTAGTTTTCATTTCACAGCCATTTCTCTCTCGGGTCTTTTCTTGCATGTTTTGTGTCTGAGCTGACTCTCATGGATTCTTCCAACCGTACGGTGAGCTTTGCAGCCCCAAGAGGCTTTGGCACCACACTCAAATCTGATCTCAAAGAGACCTTCTTCCCTGACGACCCCTTTAAGCAATTTGAGAATCAGAAACCACTTGGAAAGGTCAAGAAAGGCTTGCAATATCTCGTTCCCATATGTGAATGGCTTCCGAAATACAATTTAAAAACATTTCAATACGACGTGCTTGCCGGCATCACCATCACCAGTCTTGCCATCCCTCAAGGGATTAGCTACGCGAAGCTCGGCCAGCTTCCACCCATCGTCGGCCTTTGTAAGTACTAGTTGTGAATCTTTATTATTGATTAGGTTAATTTTCGCGTCTAGAACATATTATATATATGGTCTGAATTCAGAGTGTGACAATTATTAAGAGAATGTTTCTCGATAAAAATGTGTACAATTTTTTTTGGATGTGTAGATTCAAGTTTTGTTCCTCCAATTATTTATGCAATTTTTGGAGACTCCAAGTACCTTGCCGTGGGAACTGTGGCAGCATGCTCTTTACTTATTGCAGAAATCATTGGAGAAGTGGCTTCACCGAAGACTGAACCGGCATTGTACCTTCACTTGGTTTTTACAGCCACCTTTGTTACCGGCATCATGCAGACTCTTCTCGGTGTTCTAAGGTGTTGTCCTGATCCTGAACGAGCAAAGATAATGATGCAAACATTAAGATAATTAATTATATATTAATTATTGTTGTGGATTAGGCTGGGGATTTTGGTGGATTTTCTATCGCATTCCACCATCACTGGCTTCATGGGAGGGACTGCAGTTATAATCTGCTTGCAACAGTTGAAGGGCATGCTGGGACTGAAGAATTTCACCACCAAAACCGACGTCGTAAATGTTTTGAGATCAGTGTTCGAACATAGAAAAGAGGTTTGTGTTTATCCACTAATTAATGAAAATTTAGTGCACACTATATATGTAGTGTTCTTAATTTTGTATGAATTAATTCCTTGAGATATGATCAGATTCATATATCCAAACAAACAGGCCCAAGATCATTGCCTAAATGCATGAACACGCATTATTAATTCATTCAATTATGATATAGATTTAGGGTTAACTGGTTATTTGCCCCATGAACTTGTACTTAGGTTTCAATTTACCCCTATCCTTTTTTTTAAGAAAATTAAGGACCCGAACTAATTTTTTTTCGCTAATTTGCCCCCGGATGTCAAAATCTGCCACTTCCCTCCATCCTGCCATCAAGTTGGAGGTTACTTTTGTCATTTCGCGTCTCCACCAAAACACCAACTTGACAGCATAATGGATAGGAAGTGGCAGATTTTGATGTCGGGGGGCAAATTGGCAAAAAAAATTAGTTTGGGTCCTTAATTTTTTTTTAAAAAAATAATAGGGGTAAAAACGAAACTTATGTACGAATTCAAAGAGCAAATCACCAGTTAAGGCTATAGATTTAAATACCTGACACTTTTTTTCTTCTTCTTTCTTTTTCTAGTGGAGGTGGGAGAGTGCAGTTGTGGGTATTATCTTTCTTATTTTTCTTCAGTTCACCAGGTGGCTGGTGAGTTATCTCTTCTTCAACAAATTAATCAGATGGACTCACTGAAATGGGTCCCACAATTTTAAAAATATAAATATGCCTAGTTCATATATATGATATTACTCTTCTCCATACACGCATGCATACGCAAAATTTTGTGTTCGATTCTCTCATTCTTTAATATCGTTTATATTACTCTAAAAATTAATAAGGTTTACTTATATTTTCAGAGGGATAGGAAGCCAAAGCTATTTTGGGTGTCGGCTATGAGTCCACTGGTGGTGGTCGTATCTGGCTGCCTTTTTGCCTATTTTGCCCATGCTCAAGATCATGGAATTCCCATTGTAATGCATGCACCATTAGTAATTTCTCTTTATATTAATTTGATTTATTAAGAAAATCCCATTTGCCCAGATGAAAATAATATGACTTGTACAAAATGGACTTTTCCATTTATATGTTGATATTTTTTATATATTTTTTTTGTCTATAAATCTTAGGTGGGAGACTTGAAGAGGGGGATCAATCCTCCTTCTATTCAATTTTTGAACTTTGACCGCAAATATTTTCCACAAATTGTGAAGGCCGGGGCTATAACTGGCTTGATTGCTTTGGCTGTAAGAAACACCTTATTAATTTATTAATTCCATTTTTTGTTCTTCTTTTTTGGATTAGTTTAATATCTATATATCTTAATTTTTAAATAATTTTCAGGAAGGAATAGCTATTGGAAGGAGCTTTGGCATCATGAGAAATGAAAACGTTGATGGCAACAAGGAAATGATAGCTTATGGCCTCATGAACATTGTTGGATCTTTCACTTCATGCTATTTGACCACTGGTAATTAAATTAAATTCCCAACTAATTGATTTGATTAACAATAATCACTATATAATATCTATATAATTGTTTAATTTTAATTTTAATATGTATATTATTTTTTAAAGGACCCTTTTCAAAGACTGCGGTGAATTACAACGCGGGAGCTAAGACACCAATGTCAAACGCAGTGATGGCCGTTTTCATGGCACTTGTGCTTCTCTTCTTGGCTCCTCTCTTTAGCTACACCCCTCTTGTTGCTTTGTCTGCCATTATTATGTCCGCCATGCTTGGCCTCATCAAATATGAAGAAGCCATTGAACTCTTTAAGGTTGACAAGTTTGACTTTGTCGTGTGCATGGCTGCCTTCTTAGGCGTTGCCTTCATAAGCATGGACATGGGACTCGGCCTCTCAGTAAGTAACACACATAGCTGAAGTGGTTAAAAGCAATTACTCATGCATTTAGCGTCATGTGTTCGAATTTTTCCTCCTCCAATATCGCGTGTATAAAAATTGGTGTGACAATTATAGGTTAATTTGGTGTCGATTCATTAGGTGGTTCTTGGTCTTGTGAGAGCCCTCCTTTATGTGGCTAGGCCAGGAACTTGTAAGCTTGGGAGATTACCAGACTCAGTCTTATACCGTGACATAGAGCAGTACCCTGACGCAGCAAGGAATTCAGGGATCATCGTGCTTCAAATTGGCTCCCCAATTTACTTTGCAAATGGCAACTACGTCAGAGAGAGGTAATATGTGCAAAATGATCATATATATATATTGCTTTAAATTAAATTAATTAGTATATATCTTTAATTACATTGTAATTTCTAAATTGAAATAATTTTGAATAGGGTTTTAAGATGGGTTCGCGATGAGCAAAGCCATCTAGAAACTACGGGAGATGAGCTTCAGCATGTTGTGCTAGAATTGTCTGGTACGACTGATTAAATTTGCCACACAAATGTATCGTGGACTGTTATAAATTATTTTAAATTAATTATAATTAAATGTTTCAAACTTTGGTTGTATAGGAGTTGTAACCATTGACATGACTGGCCTTGAAACATTGAAGGAGATAAACAAAACCTTGAGGGCAAATGATGTTAAGGTAAGCTACAATTTTCCTCAAATAATATAATTGTTACAAGGAAATTACTAAAAGATTATATTCATAATATTTGTTCATGTTTTCAGTTGGGAATTATAAACCCGAGGCTTAAGGTGATGGAGAAGATGATAACGTCACATTTCATAGACAAGCTTGGAAAAGAAAATGTCTACCTATCGATCGAGGAAGCAATTGAAAATTGCAAGTTTTTGACTAGTAAGCCAAAGAAAACCACCAGTGAATCCGGCGATTCATCGAAAGGCGCCGAAGATGCAAGTGATGATGCATCACAACAAGTTTGATGCTGTTGTTTAGGGTTGTGATTCTGCAATTGATATGCTACTTAGAAATAGTATTCTGAATGTTGTAGTTTTCAAATTGGGGTTTATGCCTAGGGGAAATAAAGTGTGTATTTTTCCCTTATAGCAATTAAATTCCAATTTTTATTTCATAGGAAAAAAACTGTATTTTCTCTTTGCTAGGAAATAAAGTGTAATTAGGTTTTCTTGCTTCCATATATGACAAGAGTATTTGTTACTCTATTTTTATTTTTTATTTTTTAAACAAAGGATGAAATGTATCTAATCAAGAAAACTTAAAAAAATATAAAAATAAAATAAAATTTTAGCTTCATAGTTTGGTAAAATTTATTTCACAACATAAAAGAAACAAACACCTAACAAAATCCGTAGTTATAATACCCCAAAAAAAAAAAACAAACCGAGTTCAATATCATTATTTCTTCATCGCTTGTAAGAGCTTCACTGACTAACTCTTAGTTTAGTGGTGTTTCTCTTTGCATTTTTTTTATACGAAAAGTACAATTACAAACAAAAAATTTATCGTGCAAAAAAGACTCAAAGAGGTCAAAGTTCGAACACACGTCTAAATTAGAAAATAGAAAATATTTGTAAGTGATTCACAAGTAAATGAGGCCCAAGCCTAACTTCACAGTTCTTGGTCTTGAAAAGTTTTGCTTTGGACACAACATGAGGTCCAAGCCCAAATACGGTTGTTGGATTTGAGCCTGAGCCCATAGCTCACATTACCCTCCCGATCTCTCTCTCCCACAGACGAACGCACATACACACTCTGTTCACCGAACGTGCGCTCACAGTCACAGCGAAAACTGTTCGACCTCTGCTTCTAACTCTCTTCGCTTCGATCTCTAACGCTAAGCCTTCCAGCTTCGCTCTTCGAGCTCTGCACCAACTTCTCCCATCCGAGCCTGTCATCTCCAAGCTCACAAAAATGGTAACGTCGTCGGTTTTGAATTTAGCTTGGATCTGAAAATGTCACCAAAATTTTACTCGCTTATGCTTCTTTCGCTTCCGAGAGAATGTTAGAATTGTGAAAACGTAGTTATGGATGCCTTTGTGACTTAGTTGAGCTTCAGCTATGCATTTCTTATTGTTTTCTCGTATTGGTTTCATCTAACTCTTTCCATTTCAATGTCTGCTGTTTCTATGGGATTTCTGCAGCCTCTCAGGCTTGATATCAAGGTAGTTTTCTCTCAGTTCCTTTGAATTTGTGTTATCCATTTCCACTTTGAGCTTTTCGTTTTGAGAATTTCCGATATTCTGCTTACTATAACTACCAATTATGCAGAGAAAATTTGTGCAAAGAACCGAGAGAGTTAAGTCTTTGGATCTGCATCCAACTGAACCATGGTAATTTCACCACGTTCTTGATATTGTGCTATTTCACTATTTCTGTACATGCAAAATTATTTTGCTGGCAAGACGTTAGACTTTGAGAAAGTGTGATTTGGAATCGGTAGTTGTTTATCTATAATCAAGATTTCCATGAGACCACCACTTATACTGTGCATACCTTTGTGGCAGGATCCTTGCAAGTCTGTATTCAGGAACCGTGTTTATTTTCAATTACCAGTCACAGGTTTGTGGCACTTGTCCAATTCTAGTTTTCCTCTCACGTTAGAGTGTATCTTGCTTCTCTGTTGTGATTTCGTGGAAATGGATGCATCTTCATATTACTGCTTCTCTGTTGTATTTTCCATGTTTGGAAACGACTTTTTATTCCAATGATTTTTTACTAGTCATAGAAAGCTTTTCATGATCCTTTCTTCGGCTGTGGGAACTTATATAGTTGGTTTCTTTAATATTAAATCTTTCGAGGGTGTAATTCTGTTAGCGCTGACTGTAATGTTCCTTATTTACTTCAGAGCATGGCAAAGTCTTTTGAAGTCTCTGAATTGCCAGGTACTTAAAACATTAGCTTTTATATAAGCTCCATGTTCTTGACATTATAACTTACTTGATGTATAAATGTTCTACTTGCAGTTCGGTCAGCAAAATTTGTAGCGCGTAAGCAGTGGGTAGTAGCTGCAGCTGATGACATGTTCATACGTGCATACAATTATAATACGATGGATAAGGTTAAAGTGTTTGAAGCACACTCAGACTATATTAGATGTGTGGCTGTCCATCCAACACTTCCATATGTTTTGTCATCATCCGATGACATGCTTATCAAACTGTGGGATTGGGAAAAAGGTTGGATGTGTACTCAGATATTCGAAGGGCATTGCCACTATGTGATGCAAGTGACCTTTAATCCTAAAGACACCAATACTTTTGCAAGTGCTTCCCTGGATCACACTGTAAAGGTGCGGTCAGAAATATTCCTTATTAACGCATGTAAGTTTATTTTGAGAAATTATCTGGTTGTGCATACTATTAATTGCTTATCACCATCTTGTTTCCAGATCTGGAATCTTGCCTCCCCTGACCCCAATTTTACGTTGGATGCCCACGTGAAAGGGGTAAATTGCGTTGATTACTTCACTGGTGGTGATAAACCTTACTTAATCACAGGCTCAGACGATCATACTGCAAAGGTATGCAATATTGTTTTCCTGACACTTTAGTGTTTTTCTGTGGCCTGAACTTCAGTAAATGTATATGCATTTATATGCAGTTTGAAAAAGACTGTAATTAGAATTTATGGAAACAGGTGTGGGACTATCAGACAAAAACTTGTGTTCAGACACTTGAAGGGCATACTCACAATGTATCTGCAGTATGCTTTCATCCGGAACTTCCAGTTATAATTACTGGTTCTGAGGATGGAACTGTTAGAATATGGCACTCAACGACTTATCGGTAGATATTAAATTCCAAAGTAGTGTTTCAGCTATTTGAGATGAAGTTTGTATCTCAAATTCATTTATTCTCTGTTGACAGGGATCATTTTTTATATTGAAGTGTTAAGGCCTCAGAAAGTAAAGTATTATGTTGCCCTATATGCACCTACATCATGGGATGAGAATAAAACTACATTACTATATATTGCTTTCTTGAAAGATTTTGCCAACTTCAATTTTTCGCCTTATATTTATTGATGTTTACTTTTAGCTTTTTAATGAATAAGTCATACTGTTCAGTTTTTATGATCCTCTAATGAATCTGCATTTTCTTCTTTGCATTTTAGAATAGGCTATTAGATTCTGTCATCTACACCTTACGCCTCTGCATATTTTTAAACTTTTGTTATTGATAGAATGGTTCTCTTAGAGATAAGGGGAAAATTTTGACATGACTTATTACTTTGCAGGCTTGAAAACACACTGAATTATGGGCTTGAACGTGTTTGGGCCTTTGGGTATATGAAAGGTTCACGTCGGTAAGCTGCTTGTCTTTATTTTTATTTTTTTTATTATCTATACGTCCAATGTTCCAGTTAGCTTATGATATATATTATTGAATAAGACCAAAACTATACTATTATGACTACCTTGGCATGCTGGAATCTGAGAGTGGGTGTTTTTTTTCACTATATTATAGTTTTGAGATGATGATTTCATAAGATGTCTCATTTGTGTACAGGATTGTAATTGGTTATGATGAAGGAGCCATAATGGTAAAAATTGGCCGAGAAGTACCAGTTGCTAGCATGGATAGTAGTGGGAAAATTATTTGGGCTAAGCATAATGAAATTCAAACTGTGAATATCAAGAGTGTTGGAGCAGATTTTGAGGTTCAATCTCCCTACTTGCTCAGACTTTTATCTTTCTTCCTGAGATGGTCCTAGAAATAGAGGTTCTTATTTGCTTGAATTGAAATATTGAACCTTGATTATTTTTGTGAAATTCAGGTTGCAGATGGAGAAAGATTGCCTTTGGCCGTGAAGGAGTTGGGAACCTGTGACCTTTATCCTCAAGTAAGTTTCTGTGTTTGAGGAGCTTTTAATCCAGTGGGTCTACGATGCCCACTGTTGTGTCAGCTTACCTACCTTTAGTGGTTTGATTGAAAGTCCCTGTCCTTTATTAAGCGTATTTTAATTTTCTCAGAACCACTGTACTTTTAGATTCTTAGAAGAATATGACCATTGAATGCCTTGTTTTAATTACATTGTTTCGACAATGGATATTATGTTGTGTTTGATTTCAGAGTTTGCAGCACAACCCGAATGGAAGGTTTGTTGTTGTTTGTGGAGATGGTGAGTACATAATATACACAGGTCTAGCATGGAGAAATAGATCCTTTGGCTCAGCATTGGAATTTGTCTGGTCATCTGATGGAGAATATGCTGTTAGGGAATCTACTTCAAGGATAAAAATTTTCAGCAAAGCATTCCAGGTTTTGATCTTTTTAAAATGTATAACTCATTGAGATTATGCTTGTCAACGGGATCGTATTGTTGGGAAAATCTGATTGAGTTGAATTGAACTTTACTGTTCAGGAAAAGAAGAATGTTCGACCAACATTTTCTGTAGAACACATTTATGGAGGGGTCTTACTGGCAATGCGCTCAAATGACTTTGTATGCTTCTATGACTGGGTGGAATGCAGATTGATTAGACGAATTGATGTCAATGTCAAGGTATCACAATAAAATTACTAGGAACTTATGTCATTATCAGACTTCTTATTTGGCCACATGGGTACTAATTTTGTGTGTTTCTTTGGTTGCTTTGATTGTTCAAGAATGTTTATTGGGCTGATAGCGGTGATTTGGTGGCAATTTCTAGTGATTCATCATTTTACGTTCTAAAATACAATGTAAGAGTTCTCCCATTCAACCACTCATATCCCATGTTTATTAGAATCTTCGTAGTTCTTTCTATACATGTGAGCTAAACTAATTCACATGATTAACTTAGCGTGGTTTATTTGGCAGAGGGATATAGTCTCATTGTATTTTGACAGTGGAAGGCCTGTTGATGAACTAGGTGTTGAGGATGCCTTTGAGCTCCTCTTTGAAATAAACGAGCGTGTCAGAACTGGATTATGGGTTGGGGACTGTTTCATTTACAATAACTCTTCTTGGCGACTAAATTATTGTGTTGGCGGTGAGGTATGCAAAATTTGCAGGTTTTAGAATCCAGTGTTTTGAAGTTTTCAGAACATTATTTATACATGATTTTTAACATTTACTTGATTTAGGATGGTGTTTTGACTCGATGACTTTGCAGGTGACCACAATGTTTCACCTAGACCGGCCCATGTACTTGTTGGGCTATCTTGCCAATCAAAGTTGCCTTTATCTAATTGATAAAGAGTTTAAGTGAGTGTTTGCTTGCAAGCTGCTGTTTTGAAGGGGAGTGAACTCTTGCCATTCTCACTTTCCATTTTAACGTGTTAATATTTCTTATGTGTGCAGTGTCATGGGATACACCTTGCTTCTCAGCATGATTGAGTACAAAACACTTATTATACGTGGAGATTTAGAGCGTGCAAAACAAATTTTTCCAACAATACCTCCAGAGCAACATAATAGGTGGGACAACATATTTTGCTTTGGAAACTGTTGTGCATCAAGTGATATTAAATAGAGCCTTAAACCCAGTTCCATTTCCTGCCTCTTGTACTTGAGAGAAACTCAAAAATTCTGAAATTTTTGAAAATTGACTGACATTTTGATCCAACTCTTGTTTTGCATCCAGTGTGGCTCGTTTTTTGGAATCTCGAGGTATGTTGGAGGATGCACTGGTAGTGGCTACAGATGCTGACTACAAATTTGATCTTGCTATACAGCTGGGTAGACTTGAGATTGCAATGGTGAGATATGTTTACTTTGTTATTCCTAAGTTGTCAGATAGGTTTGCTCTGGAGCTAACTTGGAGATAAACTGTGTTGTGTATTTCCTTCATACAAAAAATTCCTTTTAATAATTATTCACTGGTTGTTTGAAGATGTTAAGTTTTCTTCTTTCTGACAGGAAATTGCTAAAGAAGCGCAAAGTGAATCCAAGTGGAAGCGGCTGGGAGAATTAGCTATGTCCACTGGGAAGGTATTCCCTCACCTTTGTCGTCTGTGTGAACTCCATTAAACAAACCAGGAGACCCTCACATTCACTAGCACCTACAGACTACAGAGTCATGTATCCACCCATATTGATTGAAAGAGCTCATAAATACCCTTCTCTTGTTTGAAAGAATTAGATATTCTTGTTATCAATTGAGGTCATGAGTTTTCTCAAGATTAAAAATACTGTGCCTCACATTTTATTTTTACATCCAAAACCGTATTCATATGCTTGAATGGCTGATGCAGCTTGAAATGGCTGAAGATTGTCTATCATATGGAAAGGACTTTTCTGGCTTGTTGCTTCTTTATTCTTCTCTTGGAGATGCTCAAGGAATATTAAAACTCGCATCCCTTGCCAAAGAGCAAGGAAAGAATAATGTTGCTTTCCTTTGTTTATTTATGCTGGGTAAAGTGGAAGAATGCATCCAGCTGTTGCTGGAAAGGTGAATTTCTTTTAACCCTAATTATGATCACTCAAACCTCCTAGTGTCGTCATCTTTGTTTGTTAAACCATTGGCATCTTTTCTTACAGTGAACGGATACCTGAAGCAGCTTTGATGGCACGATCTTACCTCCCAAGCAAGGTCTCAGAGATAGTTTCAATTTGGAGAAATGACCTGAACAAGGTTAAACTTTCACAGTGTTTTTCTCAGTTCATGAACAGAGTTTGTCTTTTTAAGTGAAATCTGAGATGTAGAAAGGAAATTATACCAACAGGAAATTGCTATGCTATGTGGATCTTCTAGTTTATCCACCAATCAGAGGAAAGATTTTTGCAAATATTTGACTAGTTGAGTTCTTGCTTATTTATGCACTTAAATTTGCAATATGATAGGTCAATAGAAGAGCTGCAGAATCATTGGCGGATCCGCAAGAGTATCCTAATTTGTTTGAGGACTGGCAGGTTTCTCTTGCCCTTGAGTCTAAAAGTGCAGAAAATAGGTATCTACTCTTCTTCACTGTTCAAAATCAGGGTCGGGAATAATTTTACTTTTTAGCGCTGCAGAAGCAGATTAGTCCAAGATTGGAAATTGTGCCATCTAATTTGGGGCTGCAGTAGATATCTCCATAATTACTGGCTGGCAATAAATTTTCTGCGGTTATGCATTGTTGAATCATTGTGGTTTGCTTTTATATGTCTTTTGCAGCGGCATTCATCCTCCTGCTGAACAATACCCAATTTATGCTGAGAAGTCAACGACCAGTCTTGTTGAAAGGTTCAGAAGCATGCAAATTGATGAAGAAGCCCCATTTGAAAATGGAGATCTGGATCAAGAGGTATAATAAGCCAACTGATGACAAATAGATGTTTCTAATCAAGCTAAAATTCTTGCACCAAAGATAAGGGAAGCTGATTTGCGTAGTTATTATATGATTACGTATTTTTTGACTTTTTCACTCACCTTTTGAGTCCTATATAGACAAGGAAAAAAACAGACATGGAACTTGCAAAACTACGGCTAAAGTTTGCTTTGGCCTTTTTCCTTTTTGGTGGGTGATTATTAACAAAAAGTTTATGTTTCTCACCTCTTAGTTTTTGAAACTCTGTCACACTTTTGATGATTCTATCCAGTCGTAGATGGTGGATAGGATTTTAAACCTGTAGTTGGAGCAAACTTGTCAACTATCAACAGACTTATCTTTCAGCATTTCTTTAGTTAATTTTCTTTAATCTTTTTCCATGAAGGGATGCTTTTAATGGTTTTATTTGTGTTTTGTGCGTCTTTGTTCCAGGAGGTACAGGAGAATGGAGAAAATCAAGATGAAGGTGAGACTGTTGAGGAGGAAGATGATTCGACGAATGGTGTTGTTCTTGTAAATGGCGACCAGGGTGAAGAGTTGGGTGTAAATGATGAGAGAACACCATCACCGTAAAGGCAATTGGAGAATGTGAATATTTCTGGTGATTAATTCAATGCTCAAAAATGCGTGTTTGGTTTTTTTTCTTTTTCATTCTTATCATGGTGGTTGTTGCTGCTGCTCTCTTTCTTCTCACTACTGTCATCATTGTTGTCAGTCCAATCATTTTTTTGTGGCTTACATCAAGCATACATTAATTGCTTAGTTAGTCTTTTCAATACAAAAGCAGCGCTGTTATGTGAGCCCTAGATGACTAGTCAGTTTCCTTGGCCTTGGTGATACGCTTTTCCTCATCTTATGTCAGCTCTAGCTGAAGGAAGATCAATTTGTTTAATTCATCTTACTATGATAGCATGAGCTCATGTATACTATAATAACGAAATTGTTGGGGTCCACAATTTTGTTTTCTTTTCCTTGTATCTGCCTTTCCCATTCTTATCCTTTGAGGATAATTACGCCTTTAAGAAAAACCAAAAAAGAAACTGCCCGCGAAACATTACCTAATAACATTACATCTGAAGTGTGTTTTAGTTGTTTATTATTAAGGTTTGATGTTCCTTCAAATTATGTGCAAGTCTCAGGTCCTGACCTAATTGCATATCCCCAAGAGGGGGAAAAGAGAAGGCATGCTTGCTTTTGTATCATTATAGTGTCTAATAATGAATTTGGTGGTGTTTTGAATATTGCATAACATGATCTGTTTCCAGACACGCATCATAACAATCTAATAATTGATTTTATTTAGAAGTCAATTGATGTTGATAGTTGATCTTTTCTTTGTTGAAACTGCAGTGTTTAAGCCACATCACTAGTTCTCATAACAACAGCTAGATCCAGCTGTTATACACTGATCTTCAGGTGAGAAATTCTTCCTACATAAAATATTTTCTTATTAAGTTCTGCTCACAAGCCTATTTTACTCGGTCACTCACCTGTGATAAATGAGTCACAACAAGTTTTCTTAAAATTTTTGGGTTTTATTTGATTAACATACTAAACAAAAAAAAAAGTACAAAATTACTTGCTGTTTCCTTCATCTGAGCCTGCTCATTTGTTTACATCGTTAAAGATCCTTTAGCATACTGGAAGATCAGTGAAGTTCAAAATTAAACATTATCATGAAACGTAGGCTGGGACCTTACTAGGTGTTTATATGTTTTAAAAAATCAGACCCACTGTTGGCGATTTGGTCCTATGGTTAGTTGAGCCCTTTCAATGGTTAATCCTACTAAAGATCTGCCATTTGTACGAAAGATCTTTGTTTGCTCTATCATTAAACATTTTCATACATCTTGAATCATGACCCATGAAATGCAGGGCGTTGCGGCCTCATATGTGGGTTCCATCTGATGTTATATTTTCTACAATTGCTCGCTCTACTTAGCTAGCTAGTCTCATATATAGGAGCCATAATCTAATTTATTTTCTAATTTTGTCCTTGTTAATTCTAGATTTGTGACCTTTCACAGGAGTTTCCCGTTTTCTTTTCTGTGCAGGGTGGCTTGTAAAATGTTCCCGTGTACAACCTGGAAAGTTTCTCATGTAGTTCCTTTTACAACTAGTTATTCTTGTGACACTTTACACTTTAACAGATGCAAAGGATGTCAAAGAAGAAAGGCTCTCATAAGTATTGAATCCTATAAAGATTTTGATCAGATTCCTCACTTTATATTATACTCCTTAAGTTAGGTTTGGGATAAAGAGGTTAGAAAGAGAACCAACCGGGACCGATTGCTTCCCTTCCATGGCCTGTGATTTTGCAGCTAAAAATGAAATTAAATCTCTATCCTAGATTCCTATGTAACATGTATAATATGATGTGTTGTTCAGCATTAGAGAAAGTCATTTTGTTTTTTATGACGTGTTCAATGTTCGTAATATTATTAATTTTTGGTGTTTTATGCTTGTGTGGTTAGATTGATTCGTTTTTGTGTCTTCATAAAGTTGGTAATCATTATTAAAGACTGTTTAAATCATAGCCAATCGTTTGGTGTATACCTTCTAACAAGTGGGCATTCGCTCGAAAGCTCATTCCAACAAGAAAATAAAACGTACCAAAAACTTTTAAACTTTAATAAGTATTTGTTGTGTTAATTTTCGCATAATTGTATCTGCTTTAAGTTTTATATATGATGTTCTGGTTGGGTGGCTTCTGGCACAAGTGCATTAAGTTCAATGATATGGGTATGGTATGGGTTTAATAAAGTTGTATAAACATTCCCTAAAATGAGATTTTAGGTGTCCTTTTTATAATTGATCTTAATAGGCTCGTTTGTTCTCATGTGCCGACAATTTCATGGTTTATGAAAAAGAAATAGGCTTGTTTCCTTTCCATAAATTTCACATGAGAGAAGCAGGTGGCTGGCTCATAAAACCAGCTCCTAAAAGTGAGAGTTGCTTTTAGGTTCGATGAATTATAATTGATGCATACTACCATCTCGTGCTTTATTTTATCTGTCCTTCCTCGCAGTTCCTGCAACACCAATTATAATCTACTGCTGGAAGGTGAAAAGTTTTAGTGGGGGAAATAGTTTTTTTTTTTCTTCCCTTTTTATGACAGTGGAGGAAATAGTTTTTGGTGCCCTCCTATATTTTGCATTATCTTTTCTCCTTCCTAACAATGATTTTTCAATGTAATCGTAACACCAACACACCCTAAAGATTTTCGATGTACTATACCATAAACAACGTACATTTTGTCTATTTAGTTTAAACTAAGTCACTTAATAACATCTCGTGACGGTATTATTTTCTCGAAACACACAACTAAAGCTCCGAGCCAAATTGGAAGACAACAAAAAATGTGCTCTATTTGAACGGAAAGTGTGCAATGGTGTCACATTCTTACAGAGACCGTAGGGGGTCCTTTACATAAAGGGAGGCTAGGCTAATCTTATCTTTTCAGGGGTACCAAGTTCTTGTTGATATATGACCCAAAAAAAAAAAAGTTCTTGTTGATAAGATGAGAGTCCACCACATGGCACTAAACGGACAGTTGTATTTGGGACCACTCCGTTATTATTTCGTTGTTTCAAAGGGCGTAGAGTTCCTTCTCATCATGATGCAACGCTCAATTTTCGACCTTCCCATGAATTCCAAATTAAAATTGTTGGTAGATACATGTCACTCTTTGACAACAAAGCATAAGGTGGAAGGAAGAAGCTGCTTTGAACTCCTTGGCCTTGTTGGCTCTACCCTAATTTCCAAACTCTATATTATCTCTTTATTTTTATTTTATATATATAAATGGTTGTTTAAATTAATCTAATTTATAAGAGAGGAAATCGAACTTTAATGCAAGGGAGTGAGTTTACTGTCGTGACGACTACTTGGTCAAGTCTTTTTTCAAATAAAAAAAATAAAATTGATAAGAAGCTGGTACCTAGTAGGAAGGAAGGAGGGAGGGATGTTTCACTCAGTTTCAAGTAAAACCTCTCTCCATGTAATCCGAGCAATCATAATTTACTTGACAGTTTCACATTCAAACCATCCATCCATGATCCATCGTCAACCATGAATTTGTGTTGACTTTTTTGTTGTGGATTGTTTGCGTACAACTACGAAGCAACAGAAAGAAATGCGTAGATGAATCAATAGTTGGTTTATCTCATATTTTAACTTCACACCAGTTTTCAAAACACATTTTTTAAGTTTAAATTCAAACCCTGCTGCCGACTTATTATTATTATTATTATTATTATTAAGCTAATTAACAAGAAAAAAAACAAGAAAACCCTGCAAGCAATGCAATCTTAGAGACTCTTTTAACTTAAATTCCGCTCTCGAATTGTGTCCGCAATTGGCGCGCTTGATTTTTCTCCTCTTCTCTCCCCATTTTTTTTTTTCTCACGCGGCTTTCTCTTTAGCTTTACTTTTTGCCGCATTTTTATTTATTTATTTATTTTATTTTTAATGACCAAATATTACGGAGATGATTACTACACAGTGATTATTGTGTTTGTTGTCATCATAGAATTATATAGAAAATGCAGAAACCCTAATAAACCCATGCATCAATGACGGATTATATCTCTCCATTGAATTCTACCTTCTACACCATAAAATGCATACGTCTATATAATACAACCGTATAAGTCATACGCATATGCATATATTTTAATTTCTTTGGCCATTCAGATAGACTCAAAGCTCAAAACTAGAATGGCTTGACAAAAGAAAAAACTATATATTTGTTTGAAGTTTGAACTCATCTCTTGACGTCAACTCCATATAGCAATTTGCTTGTTTTCTATTATAAAAGAAGAAAAAAAACAGATATATATTAACGCATGACAGCAAAGTTTTGAAGTGTAGGAAAAACGCTAACATAGATTGAAAATCAAGTGGGACAACAAATTCCACCACCTTTTGTAATTTAGCCAATAAACAAGCAGGATATTACCTTGATGAGTTGAGTTCATGACTTTGAGGTTTGCTTCGAGTTCTAAATTCCTTTGACCAATTTGATCGACATGTCGTCTACTTTGAATTGTTCAAGCTCAGGCAGCAAGGAACGAGTCATCAATTCGCTACGGGGCCATATCTCCACCTTTAAAAAAATAGCGTAAAATGCCATGTGTATATATTAGGGAACGTTCTAGATTATCACCAAAAATAAAAAATGGATTTTTCCAGTTTCACTTAACCAAGTTGAAGTTTGAGATTGACAAGTGTGATGACTAAGCCTCACGGCTGGCATTTTTGTCCTGCTCAGTTGGCTACAGTATCCTACGTGGAAAATTACGGCCCCACACGGTTTCAAGTGTGATAAATTCATGACCTGTAAATTATCAGCTCATGGCACTGGGATTGGAACTAGACATCAAAATATCATATTTGTTGAGTTATCAAGATCATGAGTGTGGCTAGGAAAATATATATATTGAGGGACCGAATGCGTGAATAGTTTTGTTGAGGTGGGGCCATACGTACATACCTACTCTCTAATTTTCTATGACACACAACAAATGTTACTATTTAATGAATCGTGACGACTCAACGAGTATAGTATTTTCGTATATTCATAATCATACCGAGTGCAAAATCGTATCGCAGCTGAAACTCTCTCTTTGGTCCGTACATGGTCTAGAAAAATGCTCAAAATATAGATAACCCTAGCTATACCTGATAAATTGTTCTTCTCAAGTTACGTTGAAATGGATATATAAAAGATGTTGTTGCATGAGAATTTATCTTCGTTATGTGTAAGTGATGCATGCATGCATAAAAAGTAAAAATTTGATAAAAGTAGAAAAGCACAATTTCTGATGAAATAAAACTAGGGTTCTACAAATGAGTGTCAGTACAAATTCTTTATTGAATAACTGCTGCCTAACTGCCTGCCTGCACGTCTCTTTACGTATCCTCAGAATCTTACCACTATATATAAAGATTTGTGGTTTGGATTTATTTACACAAACATCCAAGCTTCATTCGAAAAAAGAAGACCTAAAACTCAAGCCCAATTAAATGGAGGATTGAATGCTGAGTCGTATGATGAGACTTCTGGTTGGCCTCAGAAAAATATATACACGTAATTTTATTTATTTATTTATTTATTTATATATATGTAACATGCTTTCATTCATTGGCATTATTATATATATTGGCATATCGCTTGAGAATTCATGTGAGTGTTTGTTTAATTTTGACCATTCATTTGGGGCGGGACAGGTGGTTGATTAGAGGGAGCTTGAACCCAAATAGAGAAGTTGAATTTGATCGAGTGATTATAGAATACTACAATAGTACGGTTACGTGGTATATTTTGTATGGACATTTTTGGATTGAATTTCAGGCTTTAAATTGGCCAAACTAGACGTTGCTGAGCTCAACATGGTTGATAAATGCATCACACCCACATAAAAAGATAACCAAAAACGAAAGATAATCAGGTTGACAATGCAAGCAAATGTGCAATCTCATGGAGTCATATTCTTTATAAAAAGGAAAAACGAGAAGTCCAAATTTGAATGGTTGTGTTTTTATTTATTTTTCATCTGAGGTTGGATCGGTGCTGCCGCTATCATTTAATCTTGGTACAAATTAATTAATTATATGATGTGCACAACATTTTGAGACAAGTGGAGCCCTACCAAAATCAGATCAATCATTAAATCCCATCACACACAGTCACAAGGAAAAAAAAAAACAAAAGGGTTCACAGATCTCATGTTTTTACAGTTAATTTACAACGGCAGCTCAAAATTCAAATCTCAACCACAACCTCAAAACAATTTAAAAGAAGGTTTTGGTAAAATTAAATTAAAAAATAACACTCAAAAACGCGTTAGCAAAACGGTGGTTGGGGCTTTTTGCTCGTGTGTCTACAGTGACGTGTGCGTTAAGAAAAAAAATAATCGAAGGGGGGTATAATCGTCTTTTGGATCCCAGGGTCCCAACTGGAGCGTTGTTGCGGTGGGTGCAGACGCGTACAGGGACGCGGTGACAAAAGGGTTCACAGATCTCATGTTTTTACAGTTAATTTACAACGGCAGCTCAAAATTCAAATCTCAACCACAACCTCATAACAATTTAAAAGAAGGTTTTGGTAAAATTGAATTAAAAAAATAACACTCAAAAACGCGTTAGCAAAACGGTGGTTGGGGCTTTTTGCTCGTGTGTCTACAGTGACGTGTGCGTTAAGAAAAAATAAAATTCGAAGGGGGTATAATCGTCTTTTGGATCCCAGGGTCCCAACTGGAGCGTTGTTGCGGTGGGTGCAGACGCGTACAGGGACGCGGTGCACCACACGAACGTGGGGCCCTTATCAACGCCGACGATCCAGCCGAGCAAGAGGTGACGCGTGGGCCCTCCAGAACACACAGTTGCATGGGGCATGGTGACTGTGTCGCTTTCTGGAATTTGACCCAGTTTGGTGCGGGACCCATGTACGTGCTGGAGAGAAAGGGCAGCAGCAGCAAACAAACATAACATCTCCTCATTTTTACCATCATGGTGATGATGGGGGAAAAGGAAATGATGATGATCGTGCATCAGCATCGACGGTGATAAGGACGCGTATCAAGGTAACAACATGCATGGGATTCATCTTCATCTCATCAATCCAAATCAAATCTACCCCCATTGCCATAAATGCTGCCGTTTTGGGAAATTGATGAAGAAAAGTAAATTACGTATAAATTCCTTCATTACATTAATCCAATCTGTTTTATTACATCATGAAAATGAAGCACTCCAGAAGTCTTTGCATCATAGCTGGAATTAGACAATAATTATTGTTAAAACTAGGTTGGGTTAGTTACAATGCAATATGCCTATCTATTTTCAAAATTCATGTCATAAGTTATTGGTGATCTTCAACGACTTGGAATATTAGTTGGAGACATCGCTAAAGTTAATAAGGGACCAATGAGATTATTCAATGGTCATGGATAATTTATAAAAAATTAGTTGATGGTGTGGTAAGAAGATAATGTAATGAAAGAGAAAGAAAACCCTTGCTCTCTGATAAAACCCTAAAGAAAAAATTATTTTTGTGTGTGATGTAGTTGAAGCAGTCGCCGTGAAACATTGCTATCTTTTGACTCACGCGTGCAAGGATATAGCTCAAGTTGTCACCCTTCGATATAGATTTAGAGCTACGAAGCGAGGATGATGTCTGGTTTGGGTTTAGCCGGTGCGGCACCATGAGTTTAGTCGGTATGACGTTATGGCTCTATTTGGAATGCCCGAGAGGATGTGTAGCGATGGTCTTGTTTCTTAGGTTTTTTTTTAGTCTAATTTTTAGTCTAATAATTCCCTTGAACTATTTAGGAGTTTGATGTGGTTTATTTTTTGTTTTGGATATATTATTTTCCTTTGGCTTTTGGCTTTCGATACGGATTTGTCATTTTTGTCCTTGTAGGGCAAATTTTTATTGCAACTTTGAGTACATGGGCTTATGGTTGCTAATTCATGGATTTTAATCATTTTTTGAGTTGTGTGTATTCTCTCCATATCAATTCAACTCATTGTTGTGTTTGATCACTGTAGAAGTTTTATCCATGTTCAGAATTTTAATTGCTTTATACTTATTTTTATTTATCTTATCAACAAAATACTTTCACTCTTTTATATAATAAAAATTGTAATGAGAGATCAAGCATTTGCTAGGGATTCATTTCCCTCTTTGATGGTTTAGAAAAACTTACACTTTTTATTAATTTTTTTATAACTAAATGTTATAGTCTATTGCGAAAATGAATGACAATGTCCTTATGCATTGCTAATCATATTTGCACTTGTACAAGGGAGAACAAATTAGTAGTAATACTTTGTTTAAATGAGAAATTAGTAGTATTTATGAATTTTTTAAAGGTAAAGATGAAGCTATATTGAGAGAATCAAATTTAGAATATTCGGTGTTTGAATTAGAAGCCTGTTGCGCCTATGATTTTTAGGAATAAGCCAACTGACTAATAAAGTTGTGAAAATGATTTATTGTTCTCTAATTATATGGTCAAGTGCCCTCCAAATGTCCGGTGTGTCTTGTGTTGTAGCCGCCGTGAGAATTCAGACATGAAAACGCACAAGGACATTGACGTAATTTTGCAGTCCCATTTACTCCGAGAGAGAAAAGAGAGACTCGCGCGTGTTGCTCTGTTTTGACAAGAACAACTTCACTTCCCCACCTCCATAAAGTGGATTGAAATCTCTTCTCTCTCTCATCCACCACCACCACAAATTGCTCCTAAATTTTCACATATCGTGAAAAATTCATTTTATTCTCGTGAGATTAACCATTTACAAGCTACCAACTCTCCCTAACAACTTCAAGTTATAAACATTACAATAATTACTGGTCAATATTATTAATAAGCCACCCAAATTTGCACATTTGTAATATTTATTTATTTATTTTTTTATATTAAAAAAAGTGGGGTTTATGACTTTATTCCTAGCTTTAGCTTGTAGAGAGTTGAATAATGGGAATGGGATTCTGAAAAAAGAATAGAAAGGAGCAGTTTGAGAGAGAGAGAGAGAGAGAGAGAAGAAAAATAAAAGGAAGAGAGAGAGAGAATCTGGTGGGCTTTGAGCTGTGATTTAGCTGTCTTTTGATGTGTAATCTCTCTCTCTCTATTTCACTGGTACAAACTACACAAACACACATCTCCAAAATCCCTAGAAAACAGCCCCCACTCCCCTCCCAACCCCTTTCTTCCTCCTCAAACCCCAAACCCCCAAAAACTCTCTCTCTTTCTCTCTCTTCTTTCCTACATTTTCTTCCTCTCAGATCTCAAGGTCCCCAAAACCCCATTTGCAATCTCAGCAGAGAAAAGAGAGAGAAACAAAGGAAAGGGTTTTTCTTTTTCTTTTTAAATTTTCCTTCTTTTTTTTTTGTGAGCTATAAGCTTAAACAAATTTAAAGTGGCATTTGGAGATTCAGATGTCTCATGTGAGATGAAGAAGAAGACCACCCTCCTTGATCTCTCACTTCTTCTCATCACCTTCGTTCTCGCCTCCTCATCACTCTCTGTCGTCTGTGGTGCTCAGGAGCACCACCACCATAACGGCATTATCAGCCATGGAGCTCTCTCCCACGCCGAAGCCCTCTACATCAAGCAGCGCCAGCTCCTCTACTACAGGGACGAGTTCGGCGACCGAGGCGAGCTAGTCACCGTCGACCCATCTCTGGTTTTCGAGAACCAGAGAATCAGAAATGCTTACATAGCTTTACAAGCTTGGAAGCAAGGCATTCTCTCCGACCCGCTTAATCTCACCGGTAATTGGGTCGGATCTAATGTCTGCAACTACACCGGAGTCTTCTGCACAAAAGCCCTAGACAACAGCTCCATCCGAACCGTAGCTGGGATTGATCTTAACCATGGCGACATTGCTGGGTACTTGCCTGAAGAGCTTGGGCTGCTTGCAGATCTCGCATTGTTCCACATCAACTCCAACCGCTTCTGCGGGACTGTGCCTCACAAGTTCAAGCAGCTCAAGCTGCTCTTTGAGCTCGATATCAGCAACAATCGGTTTGCTGGGAAGTTTCCTCGGGTTGTTCTTCAGCTGCCAAAGCTGAAATTTTTGGATCTGAGGTTCAATGAGTTCGAAGGGACTGTGCCCAAGGAGCTGTTCGACAAGGACTTGGACGCCATTTTCATCAACCACAACAGGTTCAGGTTCGATCTGCCGGACAACTTCGGGAACTCGCCGGTCTCCGTCATCGTCCTCGCAAACAACAAGTTCCACGGCTGCGTTCCGGCGAGCCTGGGCAACATGTCGAACCTCAACGAGATCATTCTGATGAACAATGGGTTCAGGTCCTGCTTGCCGGAGGAGATTGGGATGCTCAAGAACTTGACGGTGTTTGATGTGAGCTTCAACCAGTTCTTGGGTTCGCTGCCGGAGACGATTGGAGGGATGGTGAGCTTGGAGCAGCTCAATGTGGCCCACAACTTGCTGTCTGGGACGATTCCGGCGAGTATTTGCTCGCTGCCGAGGCTGCAGAATTTCACTTACTCTTACAACTTCTTCACCGGCGAGCCCCCGGTGTGTCTGGGCTTGGCGGGTTTCGATGATACGAGGAATTGCTTGCCGAATAGGCCGGCGCAGAGGCCGGCGGCGAAGTGTAAGTCGTTCTTGTCTAGGCTTGTGGATTGTAAGTCTTTTAGATGTAAACCTTTTGTTCCTTCTTTGCCTTCTCCTCCTCCGCCTTCGCCGCCGCCTGTTGCGGTTCCTTCACCGCCTCCCCCGGTTGCTTTACCCCAATCACCACCCCCCCCCCCGCCTCCAGTTTACTCACCACCCCCACCACCGCCTCCAGTTTACTCACCACCCCCACCACCGCCTCCAGTTTACTCACCACCCCCACCACCGCCTCCAGTTTACTCACCACCCCCACCACCGCCTCCAGTTTACTCACCACCCCCACCACCGCCTCCAGTTTACTCACCACCCCCACCACCGCCTCCAGTTTACTCACCACCCCCACCACCGCCTCCAGTTTACTCACCACCCCCACCACCGCCTCCAGTTTACTCACCACCCCCACCACCGCCTCCAGTTTACTCACCACCCCCACCACCGCCTCCAGTTTACTCACCACCCCCACCACCGCCTCCAGTTTACTCACCACCCCCACCACCTCCGTCACCGCTACCCCCACCGCCACCACCGCCACCGCCACCTCCCCCATCACCATCACCTCCACCGCCATCGCCATCACCACCACCACCAATTTATCCGTATCCATCACCTCCACCTCCCGTCCATTCCCCACCTCCCCCAGTGTACCAGTCCCCTCCACCACCACCACCACTTTGTATGGAGCCACCCCCTCCACCTTCGCCACCACCACCATGTATTGAGTACTCACCACCACCACCACCACCAACTCCCATTGTGTACTTGCCCCCACCTTCACCCTCACCACCACCTCCTGTCTATTCTTCCCCACCTCCACCAGTCTACCAGTCCCCTTCCCCACCACCACCGTCGCCACCGGTTCACTACAGTTCACCACCACCGCCAATTGTTTATGAAAGCCCACCGCCCCCCACTCCTGTATATGAGGGCCCATTGCCAGTTCACTACAGTTCACCACCACCGCCAATTGTTTATGAAAGCCCACCGCCCCCCACTCCTGTATATGAGGGCCCATTGCCACCCATCTTTGGAGTTCCATACGCGTCTCCTCCGCCACCACCCTTCTATTGATGATTCTTTTGAGAATTTTCCTCCTCTAACCTTTCCTGGAGCGTCACATCACACAAAACTACCCAGAGTCAGTATTGGAAGTCACGGCTTCTCTTCCCTCCCCACACCAACTCTTCTTTCTCTTTTGGGCAATTCTCGTCGCTCGTGGAGGAAGAACAAAAAGAAAAAGAAAAAGAATGAAATTTGGGATTGTATGCAATTCTTGAAGTTAATCACCATTTCGGCAACTGCCAACAAATGTCTCAAGAAGCAGAGAAGAGGTGAAAGCATAGATGTAATATCATCAGTATAGAGTGAGAGAGAGGTAAGAGGAGAAAGTCTCTCCCATATTTATTTGAATTTGTTATGGATATTTGAGTTGTGAAAATAAAAATGGCAGAGAAACATTGGGTTGCAGAGAATGTGTATGTATAGGGATGCATTTGGAGACCGTAATTCAGGCTACAAACACAGCAGCCGCACCTTCCTTCTGCTGCTGCTGCTATTGCTGCTGGGTTTGTGGTGGGTTTTATTGTTATTGTCTCTTTTATATCATAATCATACTTTTGTTTCTTCTCAATTTCCAAATTTTATAGTATAATCATGAACATTTTACATGTATTAATTCTCAGAGTTTACATCTTTCCACTTCCCTTCCAATTTGTTTCTGTTGTGGTATGAGATTGAATGAAAGCTGCCTGTGTCGTATGCTCAATCCATTTGTTCAATCTTCACTCAGTCTCCGAAAAAAGGCTATTGCTGTTGGGTGGTTGTTGAATGAATAATATTGATGTCTCTATCAATCAATCAATCAATCAATCAATCATTCATTCATTCATTCATTAAGCAAATGCAAGACTTTGTTGTTTGTGTCAATGAGATTCTGGGAAATGGAATTGGATTGATGAGGAATTCATGTGGTGCATTGCAATTTGCATGCAGCATTTGATGTGTATGAATCATAAAGCAAATGCAAGACTTTGTTGTTTGTGTCATTGAGATTCTAGGAAATGGAATTTGGATTGATGAGGAATCAATGTACATTGCAGCATTAGTGGTTGTCAATGACACAGCAGAGACTCACAGAGACACCAGGCTAGAATTTTGTATATATATATATAATTCAGGGATTAAGTTTAGGGCAATGGCTTTATCATTTTGTTGATTTGGCCAAGGTGATAGGTAGGTCATAGAAGGGGTGGAGGGTCCTTAATTTTCGATCGAGAGTGCAGGTCCCAATTGGCAAATTGAGATGATGGTAGGACCCGAGTCTCATCTCATAGATTGGGTGGTGCTACATTCAATTCATGATCTGAGTTTTTCTTCATTAGATTAAACTAATACTGTTAGGGGCTGATATCATCATGATTCATGTGCATCTCCTTCGAAATTCTAATATCAAATCAAATGTGGTATTTGAAATTTCGAATTCAAAAAAACTGGTTACTTCATGCTCACACTTGTTCCCCATTGGAATTTGAAATCCTCTTTCCTACTTTGCTCATGAAAAAGCTCCAAACGAGCCTTCTTTTTACTCCTTCCCATTCATCATCATGAATGTATGGTGTTTGTCGTTGACTCTTGTCATTACACTTTTACTCTTTTCTCGTTATAAATCTTTAGACAATCTCTTTCTCCTTTTTCCAATTAACAAATCTCAGCAGCAGATGTTCCTTTTGAAATAAAAATTGAGTTGGAGCCGACTTCTTGTTGTAGCTTATTTGTAATTACGATCCAAGGTCCTTTTCCTTGCATACATAGATTATGCTAGTTGACCAGGGCAATGAGTCCTCTCCCTTTCACCTAAATTCGAGCTCCTATCCTCCTCGTAGTTTAGACTATTGCTTGTTTGTATAGTAACTATAATAAGCACGGCAAGAAAAGTCTCTACCCAAGTTTTTCTGGACACTTCCGGATGAAACTTTATTACCTTTATCGTGTAAGTGGAACCATCCATCAATGCTGTATTGCCACCATCCACACAGAGCATCACCACATGCACATAAATTGGTACTTGATTGCGATGATGACCCATACATTTTGCCAACTTTCATGTGCTGTAGATTCACAATTGGCCTGTCTTTCATTGCTGCACTCAAACTTGAAGCCCCATGCAGTGCAGAGTGCAGACCAAAATCGAGTGAGGCTCATAATTCTATTCTACACCCTGTCAAGTACCACCCACCGCCTCAATTTTAGCAATTGGCTCTCCTCTGTCTATATATACGAGATCCTGCCATTTGTTTCATGAAAATGACAACCCAAAACCAGAGAAGATCGTCAAGTCTCATATATCATGTGGGTTGTTGGGAAATTGGAGTGCGAATCAAAACAGCTCAAGCACAAATTTCTTGTGGGATTTTCCCCATATTCATTCATGCTATGGAAATTTGGAAAAGTGGCAATCTTTTTAACACATAAAGGATGATTTTTATTTTTTATTTTTTATTTCGAACAATGCTTGTAATTCAAAATTTTGCAAGAAATTTATAGCTCAAGTAATTAATAATAGTTATTCTTGCACTTGAGATTCGGTGTTTGAATCCCCTCCCCACTGTCGCTTGTATTAAAAATAAGTACAAAACTTTGGCCCGCTTAACATTTTTAGAGCCATTCAGTTGTACTGGAAGTAGAGCTGAGCTAGACTGCATCCACATGTCCCTTTCTAGTTCTCTGTGGAAGAAAAACAAGATGCATAGAAATTCAATCGAAAGATAGTGATGTTTAATGGAAATGGGGCCTGATTGGATGAAGAGCCACATGGGATGTTAGCGCTTTTTCACAACATATTTGTAACGCAAAATTTAAAATGCAACAAGTTGGTTGACTTGTTTTCAACTACCATTTATATATGGGCCTCTCTCTCTCTCTCTCCAGCCTGCCTGTGTGATTAGGTCATCGCAGGACCATATGAAAAACAAAAATACTCTACATAAGCAGAGTAAAAAAACATTAAACTAATTAATATGATATATGCATAGAAACAAAAAGGATTAACAAAGAAAAAGTAGAAGAGAAACATGGATGCCATTTCCATATCCCATATGTATAAAAAAAAATATTGCTTCTTTGTTTTGTTCTTTGCCTTGTAATAAAAAAGTTATTACTTTTCGAATGAGTATTTGGCAAACTATTGAAGATGGCCGGCAAATTCATGATTCTCCATCTACTTAATTAATTCATTAATTAATGGGCATAGTTGATTAGTTCCCTGCCACAAAAGTCTCTCGCATAGAAAAATCGAGGAATCATTTATCATCTGCTTAATTTTAGCAGAGCTGCCTTATTAATGCCGCTTGGTGTACAAGTGTTGACTCAATAATTGAAATGTTTCACCTATCGAAATAAAATTTGAAAGCAGATCTAGTCCAGTGGAAAAAGGTCTTAATTTGCAGATCAATAATCTCAGGTTCGAACCCCCATCCTCATGGCACCTTGGTTGGTAGTGTGTATGAGAAACTCCTTCTCTTTTATAGTTTAGACTATCGCTTATTATTATTATTATTTTAAAAAAAAATTGAAATGTTGCAGGTTAAAAGAACAAAGGCAGCTAGCCCAAAACCCCTTAAAAAACCAAATGAGCCTGAAATTGGATTAGTAATGGAAACAGGCCTGAGTGAACCAAGCAGCCCAACAACTTATATTACATCTGCACTTGACCATTTTGAGCCTTAGATTTGGAGTTTGAGCTAATCTTCTACAAATACAAATAAGAGACCATTAACTTTACCAAACAATCTTTAAGCCAAAGCCCATAACTAGAAAAAGGCCTGCCCTTCAAAATCTCCTACCAAAGCTTCCTTCCATTATATTTTCACCTACTTTATCTTGTCTTCACTTGTGGCTCTTTGGCAGTGCCAATCTCTTCACTCCTTTCGGCCCTTTCTGTGTCATATCACATCTTAGCTGCAAACATTTGACAAAACTAGGCCAGTTGGAACCCAAAAAGCAAGAGAAAACGAAAACCAAAGTGTTTTTTAATAGGATCTTTCCTACTGAGAAGAGCAATACACTACACTCACCCACACTATACGGATGTTAGGACTCGAATTCAAAACCTGAAAGTAGTGGCGAACCTATTAAGACGCAAGGAGGTGCACTACACCTCCCCTTGCCAGAAAAGCCATCATAGGTGTTGCATATTGCACCTTTCCTTAGCCTTGGAGTTGCACAACAGGTGTTCGACGAAAAGCCTAAGAGAAGTCTTGTTGCGTGCTTTGTTGCATTGCTGTGCATTGCCTTGATCTTAATTTTTTCTTTAAAAATCCTGGGATTAAAAAATAAAAAACGAATCCTGCCATTCCTTGAGCATTAATTGGGCATGCACAATTCCTTATTTAAGTGGGATTGGGAGTTCTATTTATAAAGGACCAATTTAACATTACCCAATTTTATTTAGTGTGCGTGCATCATAAGAATTATGCAGTTTTCTTTTTCCTTCTTGAGACGCCAATCCAAAGTAAGTTGGATGCATATTTTTTTTCTTCTTGAGCAAACGACAATTTTGTTTATTCAATTTTTTTTTCTTGTTTTAATAATAATTTTTTCTTATTTAGCTCTCTCTGTATTGCACCTTCGCTAAAAAGTTCCCAAGTCCGATAGTTCCTGGGAGAGCAATTACTCCAATCCAAACCACTACACTAGTGAGTCCTTCGCCAAAGGTTTTTTATTTTACACGGTTCAATAGTTTATTTAAGTATGATGACCTATGGATGCGTAATTATGAGCAAAGGACCAGTGTGAGTTGATACCATTAACAGCATAAAGTATAAATCTTGATTTAACAGAAGATCGGTCCTTGATTGACGGCGATGGCCTAAAACATCAGCCTTTGAAAATTACCCATCTTGGGTGAAAAAAGAAAAGGAAAAAAGTGAAAGTAATTATTTAAATATTTCATTTGTTAAAATTGTGATGGTGGCTCAAGTTACGAGCACGTGCATGCACGGATCCAAACATAAATAAAAGAGAACGTAGCAGTCAGAAATTTCATACAAGATTCCTTCTTTGATTTGTCTCTTCTTCTTTTTCTTTTTCTTTTTTTAAATTCTTAATTTGTTAAATAATGCATTTATTCTTTTTATTTATTTATTTATTTAATTTTATGGAGCTCCGCCGAATCGAAAAGTGAATGTTCACGTTCATCTATATAAATTCCGTTAGATAATATCGTCGTCCGTCTGGTTTGCAACGATTATTTTGTTAATTAAAACAATTGACTGCCATAAAATAAAAATAAAATTACCTAGCGAGCCCACAGTAAAAAAGATATTTTATGGGTGCGTGACGTCGTTATTCCAAGTGATGGTGAAATTGTGGTTTTCAATGTCTGTTGAAAATGCATGTAGTTGATTGACTAATACAATCAACATATTATTATTATTTAATTTTGTTGGCACGTCGTTATTCCAAATACTTATGAAATGAGTTTACGGAAAAGATGAAAAGAACATACGGTTTGTATTTTTTTTGGAAA